GGCTATTCAAAATTTATAATTCAAACTATAAGATATTCTAACAACATGCATATATATACCTATCTATCTATCTATACATATATATATGTACACACACACACACGCACGCACGCACGTACACACACAAACACACACACACACACACACACACACACACACACACACACACACACACACACACACACCACACACACACACACACACATATATTTTTTTTTTTTCCAAAATCAAAGTCTATTTTTGCTACATACTAAGACTGAAAGTTGATTGGCGCGATCTTGTTTAAGTTTCCAACACGCGATGATAAGCACACTTGATCCCATTCTTTCGCGAGAAAAGTGCTTGCTTTGATGTTACCGACAATATCTGCAGAACTTTTATCAAGAGCGTCTCAACCCGGGGGCATTCTCTGGCTGGAAGAAATTACACCTAAGCTTTCATTTAATATGGATTCTGTAGCTAAAAGGATTTCTGACGGCTCAGCTTCCCTATGGCAGTCCCGCTCATAGACTATCTGTAGTCCTTGTGTGTGAAGTCTTGAGTTTATATTCACCTGAGATGGGTATTTGCATATTACTTGTGCCAAAGACCTTGAGTGTGGAGCGGCTCACTGAATGATAGAAAAGTCTGTGGTCATCGCAGCCCGTTCGTGTGTTTACGTACATGTGTGCATACATGTGTGTTTATGTGTTGATGTATGTCCGTGAGGAACGTAACCTCACCTTCACCGACTGCATGGCTAGGGTGATGTAAGTGTCATGAGTAACTAGTAATGTTCGTCCACAAGTGATTAAGAGTAAAAAAATTATCCCGATAGCCTCACTGTGCACGTCTGTTAAAGTTAGTTAAATGTGATACACCATGTCCGTAGACTTTTGTAAGCGTATGGTTTAGTGAAATGTTGCGTGTGGAATCCGTAGAGTCCTTCGATGTTTCCCCTTTGCCAATTTGTGAGTATACCACATCTATCACAAAGACGCACAAGGCCAAATACGAACACACACACACACACACACACACACACACACACACACACACACACACACATACACACAGGCAGAGATATGTAGATCTTTATTGACCACAAATGCACATGGATACATCAGTTAGACATGTTATTACAACTAGTTAAGCAACATCATTTAAAGAATTAAGAATATAAAAACACTGTCTCATTATAACCTGAAAATTAAACATATCTTGAACCGTTTAGAGTAAAATACAGATACGAAAATCTCGCCCACTATTCATCACTTACCTACAGTGAAATACTATAAAATCACTAAATTGTAATAGTTACACTACCATTTAAGATCATAATCAAGTATAGAAATGATAATTGAATTAAAATGCACACACACACACACACACACACACACATTTACTTAAATCTATATATGAGAGAGAGATTGCGAGAGATCTATAATTGAGTAACTGCAACACGGTTGCCTCTAAAGACAGCTGGTTATTATCCCCTTTTTTATTCTATCTGTCAATATATTTACTCTAAGGATTACTACCCAACTAATTTCCCGTTTTCTGTGTCTTCCGCAGGCGGGAGATCAGCGCACTCGAGGCAGAGAACTTCAGTTTAGAGCGCCAGTTGTTCAGTTACCAGAAATCGATCGCTTACGCTCACTCGAGGGGCGCGGTCGTGGACGATCCTTCAGAACCCAACGACTATCCTCACGAGAACTACTCCAACGGCAAGAGAGACTACGACACCAGAGATTACTCCACGCGGGACTACGACTACGCATACAATGATCTGCCAGAAAGGTCGTTTTCTACAGATACTGAGTATGCGTGAAAACGCCTTAATCACCTGAACTATCTGGTGAAAAGAGTCAGTGATGCTTTACGAGATATTCGCAACGTATGGGAAGAAACCAAAATTAAATTCTCTCTCTATAACAAAATAAAGAATTGAGAGACACGTAGTCGATAAATCCCAATTAAATATATGAATACCCAAAAATACTAAAATAATACTGGAATCCCTTAGTACCGTACGACTCTTTAGTACAGGTAATATTATATGCTGTTTCTGATAGAAGCTGAGGATGTTTTATACATCTAGCAACTGTACATATATACGATATATGTTTGTTCTAAATCATTCTGTGTTTTAAGGACAAAAGACAAGTCTTATTGTGTGAAATTTCAAAACTATGAACGTGTACATGTCGGTGTGTTCCCAGGGATACTAGCTGGACCTGAGCTACAGAGCAATCATTAGTAATGACACTATTTTTGGTAAATCTTTCATAGCTACCGCGATGTATTTCAGGGTTACAGGTAACATTTACAAATCCATCCATTTTCGAAAAGTCCAGTAGCAGCAGCTGTTAGCGTGAGTGCAAGGAGAAAGCAAAGACGTGAATACATAAGGTGGGCCTTATTAGGGAATGCTTGAGGGAGGATGTTGTGACTAACGCGGAGCCGAGAAATTATCGGTGAGCGTAGTTCTCTTTCTCGCAGATAGTGAACAATCATGGCGTGCCCTTTATAGAAGTCGTGTAGGTATAAAAAGGACATAGAGACCACAAGGGAGATTAGATATCAAAGAACACTAATACATACACACATGCAAGCAAAAGCAAATGCGAAATCTGTAAGTACACACACACACACACACACACACACACACACACACACACACACACACACACACACACACACACACACACACACACACTCACTCCCACTAAATGAATCACTGATGTCGAAGTAGCTTTTTCATGCAGACTACAGGTCTCGTGTGAGTGAAGTACAAAGTAGAGTAGCCGGTAAATATCAGAAGACATGCTTGAAAGTGAAATAGAAATAGAAGACAACGTAATCGGATGAAATGACATATCACACTCCCTCTGAAGTGTTTACATTGGAGACACCCTAAGTAGATCCCGCTGACTATGAATAAGACTAACCAATTGTAGCGATAGTGTAAAATAACTGGTATATTAAGGGCAGCACCTGGTTGTGTCAGCACAGTCAAGTCAAAGCGAGTTCACGCACGATAGGAAATTAATTGTTAGTTCTGTCTGTCTGTCTGTAAGGAAGCTTTCTTAGGTCATGTCACGGAGATGACCTGATAGTGCAGGTCAGCTGGGGGTAACCTAGTTAAGACAATTGCTTTGCGGAAATTTCTAGCAGGTGACAGGATAGTGGTTTGTTGGAGTAAGGTACAAACATACATAATTGATACTTAGAGAGTAAATCCGTGGCGAAATCTAGCCAGTGCTGCAGTATAAGAGAAGTATCTAGAGTACGTGCTGATTCAATAACAACAACAACAACAACAACAATAATAATAATAATAATAATAATAATAATAATAATAATGGTACCAATAACAATAATAACAATAATGATAATTATAGCATTAACCAAGAACTATTTCGAGGGACGATAATACTACACATGCTCTGTATATTGAAGCAAACACGTACATGCGATGAATGACAGAAAATTATCAGTGTCAGTCATACCTTTCTTGTACTGCAGTGCTGGTAAAAGACAGCAGAATAGCGTAATATAACTGGCAGAAAAAAAACAAGGGGTAGAACTCTGCATTTCTGCACTTATATGGCATAATTTCAATCTGCTTATTGCAACATTGCAATGAGGATCAGCATATTTGAACAATTAAGCTAGTGCACAACTATCAACTCTCATCCTGTCCATATCAGTGAACTGTTCGCAGATATATCTTCGATGAAACACGCGTGGAATAGGGTTTCACGCTCCCTCTTCAGTAACCTTTTAATGTAGCGTTAGAATTCTCCTGTAAGGATTATGACCCAACTATCAACTATTGTGTGTATTGGTTACGACTGCCTGCTCAAGTATCGTTATTATTAATATCATTGCGTCTGTCATTTATTTTCTTGCAAGAACACTCATTTTGTGTTTGTGCTCACTACACACGATCAAGAATTTATCAAGCACCAGTGGTGAGATGCATTTGATTTTCTCTAAACGGAACACATGTGCAAATCTACGAGAACTGCGTTTGCTAGTTACTTCCTCGTGCCTCTTCCTAATCTTCAATTATATTTACGGTGTCAAAGAAATATATTTTTTAAAAAACATTTATTCCTCTGATTTAGACTGGAGTATTTAAGTAATTTACGAAACTATATTTTCGAGTAGCTTTTTCAGACGAAGGACAATAATAGAAAATAGACTGTGCATCTAATAACGATTAGCTAAAGATAGACCCATTCAGGTTTCAGTGTTTCGTGATACCAATAACAATGGCAATGTGGAAAGAATTATAAACTATCAAAGAGGTACTTGGTAAGTGGAACTGATATCACAGAGGTTATGTGAACTCTGATACTGTAAATATCCAGACACACTGAGGAAATGGATCACACGTATCGCAGAAAGCAAGAAGAGGCAATGGAAAGAAGGATAACATGGAAAGTGAAAAAGAAAGACCACAGGCACAAGGGACAGACCGTGGAGCGTCTGAAGCTAAGTCACCCTGGCCCGGAAATCGAGTGATCAGGTAGACACCCGAGGAAATTGAATATAACACATAAACCACAGTGTCCTGGGTAACAGCTGTCATCGGAGAGTCTGAAACACCAACCCACGACACGCGCACACACACACACACACACACACACACACACACACACACACACACACACACACACACACACACACACACACACACACACACACACACTTACAGAAACAGCTCGCCATGCTACTAACATTCATCGGACTACATACCGATTCAAGATGATGTAAGTGATGGAGTAACTGCCACCTGGAACTGTCTAATACAACGAAAGTAGGCGTCTGACACAACTTTCTCGTATGACAGCTTGATCGAGTGAACATATACGGTTCGGGCAAAACTCTGCGCCTCAGTGAGTAGATGTGGCATGCAGCTGGAAGCGTCAGAGAGGAAGAAAGAGAGCGGGAAGGATATTATTGCCTGAAGATGGAAGAAAAGAAGACATGATGAATTTTCATGTGAGATATTTGGCCAAAAAAGGTTTAAGTCATTTGGAAAATAAAATATATTTAACACGCAAATGTAGACTCAAACTTCATAAATATATATATGTATATATAATATATATTATATATATATATATTATATATATATAGATATAATATATATTATATATATTATATATATACATATATATATATATATATATATATATATATATATATATATATATATATATATATATATATATATATATAATAATATACATATATATATATATATATATATATATATATATATATATATATATATATATATATATATATATATATATATATATATATATATATATATATATATATATATATATATATATATATATATATATATATATATATATAATATATAAATATACATATGTATATATAATATATATATATATATATATATATATATATATATATATATATATATATATATATATATATATATATATGGCACACACACACACACACACACACACACACACACACACACACACACACACACACACACACACACACACACACACACACATATGCACACACACACACACGTACACATATATATATTTATAAACGCTCATGCATATATATATTATATTTATATATATATATATATATATATATATATATATATATTATATATATATATATATATATATATATATATATATATATATATATATATTATATATATATATATATATATATATATATATATATATATATATATATATATATATATATATATATATATATATATATATATATATATATATATATATATATATATATATATATATATATAATATATATATATATATATATATATATATATATATATATATATATATATATATATATATATATATATATATATATATATATAGTTTGTATGTACATATAAACATAAAATGAACACACACAAATATATTGTATATAGAGTGTGCATTCGTATTTGTATTTCGATGAAGCGCACGCACACTAACACACAATGATTTATATAAAAGACATCCACATATGTGTTCATTGTATTGCAAATAGAACGGTGATGAAAAAGTTTTGTAAAAATAAGAACAAAAATTACAGTAGATTCTGCTCCTTCGAACTTTGCAGTGTTATGTAAGGACGGAACAGTCCACACTACAAGAATGTCTTAGAGCAGAAAAAGCAGACTTTGGGTAATGTAGTTCACAAAAGGCAAAGACAACGGCGCTGCAGTGTAATTATTGCTTATTGCATAGCTATTGTTACAAGATTATAATAATAGTAATAATATTGAAAATACATCAAATCTGAACAATTTGGATGACAAATATCAGCTGCTGAATAAACTAAAAACACATCTATATCAAAGGAAATTAATTGGGAGGAGAAGCGTGTGGTTAGGGAAGAGATAAAGAAGTCTTAAAACGTGAACCTTTTTTGGGAGAGTGATGGCTGAAAAATGTCAAAGATAGATAACAAATAAGTAGAGAATAAATATCTAAAGCAATGAAAATCAGGTAAAAAGAAAGAAAATAGTCTTATTGCTTGTTATCTTTTTTATTTGATACTTGAATTTTATAATAAAGTAAACCGTATTATTATTATTATCACTATTTCTATTAATAATATCATTATCGTTACTGCTATTATCATTACTATCATTATTGCTCTTATTACTTTTATCATCTTTATCATCCTCTTCATTGTAATTGCTTTTATTGTTACTATTATTAGTATTGTCATTATTATTATAGTTATTATTATCGTCATTATCATCATTATTTTATCATTATTATCATTATCACTATTATCATTATTATAATTATTTTTGATATCATCATCATTATCATTATTGTTATTTGCTTTCATAAAGTAAGTGCAGTTTTAGCCTAGATATCAGAACACATGTTTCTAAGGATACGTTATAATTTGATTTAACTACTTCAGACCACTGCTTATTCAGGCTACAATCTAGAGGTAAAACTGTGAGCCGACAAATATATTAATATTTTTCATATTACTTTAGGCTATATCATAACTATGATGAACAATATGGAGGTAATAACAGTAAAATCCACCTCATTGTGAATGGGGTAAGATTTTCTTTTCTTTTTTCACAAACATATTTTCGGGTTACCATAAAAAACCTCTGGCGTTTTTCTAAAAACTTTTACCCGATCCATCTTCATTCGTTCATCACTGACGTTGATTTTCAAATATTCATCTACTGATTAAAATCCTTGCTCTATCTATCTTACGATACTGTATATCTCCCTTTGGTCAATGATAGTCTTTATGCAGACCACGGAGTTTTCTAAGAACCAAGTGAAGATATAATGTCCATGTGCATTTTATTCCGTCACCGATAGTAACGTCCTTTGTCTGTCTATCACACACACAACCCCCTTCGGTACAGTCACCACATCCTCACTCTCCACCTCCAGCATCTTGGTTAACACTGTCCACTCACTGCTTGTAATTGTGATGCGCGTCATCCCCATCACTTCCCTTTCATAGCATTCCTACCACGTCTCTGTCCTTGCCTTTTGCTCCTATATAAGAGCAGCAGTTGATAACAGTTTAT